CAAAAGCTCAAGATGGCCAACGTGGTCCACATCAGCCTACCGTCTGCCTGTGGTTGTACTTTCCCACTGTTCCTATTCAGCTTCCTCTTTCAGTCAACACTCAGTCTACTTCGTTGTTCCATCCTCTCATGCTCAGGGCTCCAGGATCACCATCTATATCTGTTTCACACGGTCTCCCAAGTCTTTGTTGCAGGGGGTCAGCTTACTGCATCAGTTTACTCTCTGCCACCATGTTTGCTCCAGACACTTCTAGAACCCATCATTTTAACAAGTCTGTGTTACTCCCTACCTTACTTGTCTAGCTTGCCAGTTCCAAAGAATGATAGTTTAAATAATTGTGAGAATAGATGCCCTGCTTTTTGAAGCTTACATAGGTTAGGTAAGACCTCGTGTCTGTCATCTGCTCCACTTTGCATCTGCAGAAGCTATGACAACTGCACTACAAAGGGAAAAGTTGCTGGAAGCACTTAAGTTCTGCTTCTCTGAATTGAGCTGCTCTGTCTGCTTTTGCAGGGTCATCGTCCTACTCTGTTATCGTAGAGGTCTTGAAACACTTCTGGGTTCTCCCTAGTAACAAAGCTAAGCCTGGGCAACTATACTAGTAACAAAGAGTAGGAGGATACCAAGTAAACTTGTTGATAATAATTGACCAGAAATTAATTACAGAAGTAGACACATAGACATAGTACCTACCTTGGTCTGAGTAGATGGCTGAGACCTGCTTCACTCCTGTTATCGGCAGTGGCCTCAAGTGTATTTTGCCCCAACAGTCCAAAACTTGGCATCAGATTCACTTAGCATTGCAGAAGGCTACAGCGAATGGTATGCTAGAAAGACAGCAGATTAGTAGAAATACACCTGTTCAGAGACCATTTTTTGGCTCGTCAAATGACAGCTTAGTTGTAAAGCAATTAAATATTGACACAGAAATAGCCGAGTTTAGGTAAGCCCCCTGTTCCACACGTAGCTTCCAGGTTCCTCCATGGAACATACTCATTGAAAAGAGTTACACTGTACACAGGGCAACCAAATGCTTTGCTGCCTAGTGTATACTGTAGTCCATTGACAGGCCTTCAAGTCCAATCAAGGATTGTTTTTATAATAAATAATGTTGTTTGATATGACAACTGACATTTCACATTTATCTAAATGTAGTATGTTTCAAGAAAATAGTGTTAGGGAAGTAAGCCCAAAATTATTACCTCATAAAGAGAAAGTCTTTTGGCCAGGAGGCAGACATGCAGAATGTACCCTTTGGTGGTGTAAATTATCATGACTGAGTATTTAAAAAAAACACAAAACAGCTAAAATGAATAGAGAGAAATAGCGTTAACTGATGGTACATGGAGGGGATTATAATCATTGTAATGAAACAAGGTATATAATTTGTTGAATGTAAAATGGATTATCTGCCCTGTAAACTTTCACTCAACTCACAGTAAAAAGGTTTTTTTTTTTAAATCACACAATGGAATATTATGCTACCCTGAAGAATAACAAGGAAGCAGCAAGCCACCGCACAACATGGATGAACCTTGAGGACATTATGCTGAGTGAAATCAGTCACAAAAGGAGAAATACGGCATAGGTCCATTATTGTAGAAGAAAAAGCACCCACACTAAAAGGGGGGAAAATTATCTTTTATTTTAAAATTTTTATATTTTTGTTGGTTACCAGAGTGTATGAGGTGGCATGAGGGAGAGGAAGAGGAAGGTGGAGCACAGGGTGTGTAATAGACACAGGATAGTTTGGGTACTGGGGGGGCTGGGGGGAAAACATACACTAGAAGGAGAAGGGGAGAGGAAAAATCAGGCGGATGGGAGAATAGCTAGGCAGGTTTCCATAGGCTAAATAGGACAGAGGTAAATAATGATGTAAGCACAAACGTGGAACAACAGGGCTCATGGATACAAAGATTGAGACATGGTTTGAATGGGAGAAAGTGGGGAAATGATGTTAAGATGCTTGCCTGTCTTTTGAATCTTGGTTTCCCTTGCCTACTATTGTAAAATAGACACTTGAAGGGGAGAGAGAAGAAGAGTCAGAAACATCACCAGAGTAAGCTTGTAAGTCCGTCTTCAGCCTGTAACTGATTAGAATACCTAAAATGGGGCTAGAACTTACCCAGTGAAGGTGGCTCCTTGCAGAGCCTTTGCATGGCATAAGACCATAGATGGAATCCTGATCCCCATCCAGAATCTTCTGAGGTGGGACATTTCCACTTGAAAGGACAAGCAGACCAGTCTGGAGTAGCTAGAAGAACAGAAGATACTTCTTGAACAAAAGACCAGCAGAAAAAAATAAAAAACAATAACAGCAGTCCAACTGACTACTACAAGAACAAGCAAGTTGTTCCCCAGGGAGCCATCAAGGCAAGTGGTCAGGTCCCCTCAAGGCAAACCCCCTTCTAAGACTGAAACTCAAATGGAATACACTAGCAGGCATATGGTCCTGCTGCTGACCACATTGGTCACCGATATGAGAAATGGGGAAAAACAGAAATGAAGTTATGAACTAAGTCCAGCCACATTCAATAGACTCCTGTTAACCTGAATTGAGACCTGGTTAACCAGCAGACCTAGGGACTACTGGGCCCAGGGGCAGAGATATGGCCCCAGAGGACTAGAACGGAGTGTGAAGCATCCAGCTGATATGAAGTAAGGGGAGATGCACAAGAACACCCACACTTGCAGATAGTACTCATTTGACCCGGCATCAATGGCTAGATGATCAGAATATGACTAGAGGAAGAAAGAAGAGGGGGAAAAAAGGAGTAACCCACTACAAGTGGATGAACTTGACCTATGCTTGTGGATGCAGTATTACAAAGGAGCAGATAAATCTCTACAGTGAGGATCATTCCCACCCCCGTGGTATACAGGGTCAACAAGGATTGGGAATTTAGATATTGGCTACCCAAAATGGGGGGACAACAAAGGCAAGAAGTGACTGGCTTACAAGCATTCAATAGGGAACCTAGTTCCAGAGGATATAGGGAAAGGTTGAACCTCCACTGAATTGCTTCCAACCTGTCTGGATGGGGTTGATAAAAGGGGTAAAGGACTCCTGTGGTTCAATAGGGAATGATTGCTATCAGGTCTGACAATGAGTGTTAAAATAAATGTTTGGTAACAAAAGGAGGGGAGTGGCTGATTTTGTAGTCCAGGAGCTGAGATCCCTGGAACCATCAGGGAGAAAAGTGAAGTGCGAGACCCTGTCCGGGGAGGCAGTGACACTAGGGATGGAGGCAGAGATGTGGACAGAAGGAGAGGCTGGGGACTCTGAACTCAGGGAAGGAAAGGGGCTGTGTGCTGGCAGCCACAGGGCAGGCATGTGGGGTGTTTGATGATGCATGCAGTGGATTGTGATCATTGCAATGAAACAAAATATGATAGGATGAATGTAAAGATAATGTTCAGCCATGTAAGCTAACATAATTCACAATGAAAAAATAAAAATAAAAAAACAAGAGAAAGGTTTTGCTCACCCTTTCTTCCCACCTCCACATTAAAAAACAAAAAAACCCCAGTGCCCTCTAGTCTACTTCAACTCATAGGGACCGTGTAGGACAGAGCTAAACTCTGCTCCATAGGGTTTCCAAAGATAGATATCCACATCTGTCTCCACAGAGCGACTGAGGGGTTGGAACCACTGACCTTACGTTTAGCAGTCCAGTGTGTCACCAGGGCTTCTCACCTAGCCAGTACAGACTTCAAATGGAAAGCTATTCAGTGGTGATGCTGAGAAGATAAATCTTAACTCAGAGATTAAAACAGAGATAGACTGGAGGAGAGAGGAGGGGGTTTTGACCTAGATGCATCTGAGGACTGTGCATTGTCTAGGAGTACTGAAGAGGTACCACCTTCGTGTAGGAAGTAACTTACTATCAATACTATGACATTGAAGAGATAAAATGGGACTCAGAAAAAAAGATAGTCCTCTAGGCTCAAGACTGTAAGGTAAAGAAAACGGAAACTGCTTTTAAGTTGTTCGTTCAGTCCATTCACCAGAATAGAAGTAGTCATTTGGCAGAAATTTTGAAGAATAAAATTTGATCACTTCAATTGAGCTCTTGGAAGCCTTAAAATAACAAAGGGTGATAAAAGTAGGTGAGAGTAATGTTATTATGGTTTCTATAATCTGTGAATTTGCCAAAAAGTGAAGATGGAAGAGGATGAGCTTCATCTCCATATGACCATTGCCTACTACTGCTTCCAAAGTAACATCAGTGGTTTGCTCCAATACTTGTTTAACCCTGACACTTGAAAAGGTAACAATCAGAGCCTAAAGTTTTGCATATTTCCAAAGGTAACTCAATAGCATGGAAACATTTTCCCATCTGTAACTTGGAATAGGCAATATTGGTATAGGAGCAGGATCTATATGTACCATAGATAGGAAAGTCTTTAATTCTAACATCTCAGACAAACTAAGTCAAATAGCACACTTCTTTCTCTTGTACACAGCTCAGTGGCACTGAACAACAACAACTGAGTTTGGGGAAAATTTAGAGTTACGCATTTGTTGTTGTTATGTGCTGTCGAGTCGGTTCCGACTCATAGTGACCCTGTACAGGGTTTCCAAGGAGCGACTGATGTGTTTACACCATCAACTTTGCAGTTCTAACCAACTTTGCCGTCAAGTGCTTATCCTGTAGTGCCACACCAAGACTCCTGAATTATACATAATAGGTATAATAAAAATTATGGACATGAGATCAAATCCAACCAACAAGCTATACACACACAAACGTGTATATATAAGTAGAACAAGCATTGTTGTTTGTTGTTATGTACTGTGGAGTCGGTTCCGACTCATACCAATCCTGGACAGGGTTTCTGAGGCTGTAAATCTTTACGGGAGCAGAAAGTCTCATCTTTCTCCCATGGAACAGTTGGTAGTTTCAAACTGCTGAACATTAGCAGCCCGATTCATAACCACTATGCTACCAGTAGTGTATTTTTTAGTAAGTCCACGGATTCTCTTTTGTTGATTTCAGAACATTACCTTTTGACAAGTTGGTCCAGAGAGCAGCTGAAGAAAAGCATAAAGAATTTTTTATTTCAGAGGTAATTATTTTTTAACATTTTCTTTTGAGAGCATTAGTGTCTGTATGCTAAATGGATTTTCTTTTGAAAGAACATTAGCTATACAAGAACTGTAGACTTCTCTGGTAGCCATTCTTAAGGTTTTGCTTGATATACCAGAGATCTTCTCTGTATTATTCATTAGCTTTGAAATTTCAGCCAGATTAACTTTTCTGTGCCTCAGTATACTCATGTATAAATAATGTAGATAATAGCAATAACTGCTTCATAAGGTTTCTGTGAGGATTGATTAAATAAATGCTATAAAATTCTTAGCACAGTGCCAGACACACAGAAAACTATTCATTAAATGTTAGCTTTTAATAGCAGTTCCAGAAAATTTAAAAAATTATTAAATGTGTATTTTATTTTCTTATTCTACATGTGTATTACATTAAAGATGTTTGTGGTTGGCATTCAAAATACTTTGAGATCATGCATGTTATACAAGTAGGAAATACAGCTTTGTGCATTATAAATAATTTTGAGTATAAATAATTTGCATGTAACCTCCATAATAAACATTACCGTTGAGGAAATTTATTTTTATGTTTTATGGATCAACTCACTATTACAAAAAAACATGTAAAAACAGTTAGTTCTTCATACGGCCACCAGAGAGCATTAGTAGAAAGGATAAGATAATGGAATTTTTTAGAAAATTGCTAATCTGGATTCGATTTTTAAATTTATTTCTTTCCTTTTTTTCATTGTACCTAATGGCACTTAACAACAACAACAACAATGTTTTTAAATGAATGCTGATTGAATATTTCTTTGGGATGTTTCAGGATGAGAAGTACTACTTACGGTCACTTGGGGAAGATCCTAGAAAGGTAAAAATTATTAATATAAAATAATAAATTAAAACCTAAATATGTTAACTGGTGCTATAATTTTTGCACTTCCTGTGTGACACATAACCTGTTTTATTCTTTTCCATTCTTTCTTCACTGATTTTTGCCCTGAAAAAGAAGATTTTAAAGTTGATTACTTAGTTTTCAGTAGGAACTATGTTGTTGTTAGATATCATTGAGTCAAATCCACCTCATAGCTATCCTATGCACAACAGAAGGAAACAATGCCTGGTCCTGTACCTCCTCAGCTTTTGTGACCTTGGAATCCATTATTGCTGCCACTATGTCAGTCCATCTCATTAGGGGTCGTCTTCTTTTTCGCTGACCCACTTTACCAAGCATTATGTCCCGTTTCAGAGGCTGGTCCCTCCTGATAACATGTGCACGTATGAGGGACAAAGTCTCTACGGTCTCACTTCTAAGGAGCATTCTGGCTGTACTTCCACGACAGACTGATTTGTTCCTCTGGCAGTCCATGGGACTCTCAGTGTTCTTCAACACCATCATTCAACTAGATTGATTCTTTTCTGGTCTTCTCTAGTCATTGTTCAGTGTCTCATATGTCACATGCGTCTGAGGCAATTGAAAATACCATGACTTGGTTCAGACTCACCTCATTTCTCAAACTGATATCTTTGCTTTTGAACAATTTAAGGACTTCTTTGCAGCAGATTTGCCTTATGCAATATTTCTTTTGATTTCCTTACTGCTGCTTCCATGAGTTTTGATGGTTCCTAGAAAAATGAAGTCTGACAATTTCAATCATTTCTCCATTTGTTTTGATGTTATTTATTGGTCTAGTAAGGAGCTCTAGCAGCGTAGTGGTTACAAATCGGGCTGCCAACCTCAAGGTCGGCAGTTTGAAACTACCAGCTGTTCCACAGGAGAAAGATAAGGCTTTCTGCTCCCGTAAAGATTTGCAGCCTTGGAAACCCTGTGCAGGGTCACTATGAGTCGGAACCGACTCCACAATAATTAACAACAACAATATTGGTCTAGTTGTAAGGATTTTTTTTTTCTTTACATTGAGGTGCAATCCATACTAAAAGATTGATCTTCATCAGTATTTTAAGTCCTCTTGTCTTTTAGCATGCAAAGTTCTGTCATCTGCATGTAGCAGGTTATTCATGAGTTTTCCTCCAATCCTGGTGCCACAGTCTTTATATAATCTTTTTGGATTATTTGCTCAGCATACAGATTGAATAAGTATGGAGAAAGGATACAACCGTGACACACTACCTGATTGTAAACCATTCAGCCTCCCCTTGTTCTCTTAGAGCGGCTACCTCTTGGTCTATGTAAAGGTTCCTGTAGTACAACTGTTGTTGTTGTTGTTGTTAAGTGTCGTCGAGTCAGTGCCGACCCATAGCAACCCTGTATAGGGTTTCCAAGGAGCAGCTGGTGAGCTTGAACCACTGACCTTTGCAGTTCAAACGGATTTGCAGTCTGGCACATTAACACACAGCACCACACCAGGAATCCTATAGAATCTTAGTATTTAAAGTCATCTTTAACTGGTCATTTGTTTGTAAAAAAAATACTGAATCCCTACACAACTAAGAAATCCTTTCTAGTGAATATTTACATATTTAACTAATATGTCAAAGTCCTGGTGAGGTAATGTAGGATAAGCACTGGACCTCAAGGTAAGTTTGAAATGCAAGGTTGGCAGTTCAGACTCACCAGGTGCTCCCTCAGAAACCCTATACAGGGTCACTATGAGTCACAATGGCTCAATGGCACAACAACATTTAACTAATTTTAATCCAGAATAATTAAAAATCCTGAATAATCCACTTTGACAGTAGAAGTGAATATATTTTATAAGCACTATTCTTATGAATGCCTTGTTATGTATTCTGAGACAGATTAACAGGCCACAGTGTCAAGAAGTGGTTGGTCCCTAAAATGACTTATTTTCTATATATGTTACCATTTGGTTCTTTACTTTCTCCCTTTTATCATTTTCCATAATAAAACCCAGAGATTATAATACAGTCATTGGCACTCAAGTTGTGTACTCCTGAATTTAATATGTATAGTATTAGAGTAGATAACAGTTGTATAATTCTTGATTAAATGAAGGATTTTTTTATTAATGAAGCACGTTGAGCGTAACAATAGTGATATTATTAAATCTGCATTTCTCTTATACAGTCTGTTGTGACTTCATTTGAAAGCTCATGTGTTGGCAGATGGTTACATCATAGTATTTTTAGCACTAAACCAAGTTTTGCCCTATCGTTACTTCACATTATGGGATCTGATGGCAGTCTTAGGTCCATCAGATTTAATAGTTTACTATTAAACTTTACTGGTATTATTTTTTCTTGAATGTTTCATTATTGTGTTTCTCTCAATGCAGGATGTTGCAGATATCAGAAAGCAGTTTCCTTTATTAGAAGGTGATATTAAGTTCCCAGACTTCTTCAGAGAGGAGCAATTCTTTTCCAGTGTTTTTCGTATTAGCTCACCAGGATTACAACTTTGGACTCACTATGATGTATGTTATATAAAAGTGAAATCTAGAACTACTTAAAGGTTTAACATTTTGAGTTTCAACTTCTGTAAGCTACCTTAAAAATCTTTGACATACAATTTACTGAAACATGAGTTTTGAAATTGATTGTTCTGCAAGGTAGTGATGTGCTAGTGAATTATTTAGTTAGTACTTCACATTTGCATTTCTGTGTGGTCTTGTTCTTGCTTCATCATCGTGTATCCAAGAATAAGTCAAAAAGTATTGTCATAAAATCGACAAATCTTTATTAAACAAAAACACCAAAATGTGAAGCTATTATTTCTCGACCTGCCCTCCATCTAGATCTATATACTTCTGAAGACAGTTTTTCCATCGCTCTAGCTTTTCCCTGAAGAATTCTTCACTGAAGAATCAATTTGTATCATATCAAAACAGTAGTTAGGAGTAGCTTCGGGGGACTCAAATCATATTCCTTTTAAATTTCTTTGAGTTTGGGAAACAAAAAGAAGTCTGAAGGGGCAAAGGGTAGGATAAGGTTTCCCAACAAAATTCTCATAGAACAGCCCTTGCTCGAAGAATGAGCCGGTATTTTTTTCAGCGCAAATTTGCTGGCCTTTTTCTCACCAATGCAGTTTTCAATTTTCTTAAAACTTCTTCCTCATATGTCCTGTGAGCATCCTGTGTCTTTTAAGAAAATCTATCAATATTCTTTTGTATCTCCCAAAAAGTTGCTATAACCTTCTGAGCTGACCTCTCTGCCTTGAATTTAACTGGCCTTGTAGATGTCCTTGGAAGCCACTATTTTGATTGGATTTGCTTCCTGGATAATAGTGATAAATCCAAGACTTGTCCCCAGTTAAGATTTATTCCATAAAATCATCTTCATTAGCTTTGATCTTGCTTAAAAGACTGATAGAGAGATTACCTCTTTGAGCTTACTGATTTTTTGTGCAACGCTTTTGGCACCCATTAAGCCCAAAGCTTGCTGAGCCCAAGATGTTCACTTAAAATGGAAAATGCCAAACCATGTGATATCTTAATTTCAGTAGTACATCAATGGTAATCCTATGGTCTTCATCCAGTTTCTGGATTCCACAATTTCTTCATTTGTCACGATTTGATAGTTTTCTCTCTTGGCTCATATTTGAGGTCTCTTGGCCGTTCTTAAAATGTTTGATCCATTTAAAAATAATGTTTTAAGTTGAGCAGCATTCCTGTTTATTGCAAGGCTTAATAATTTGAGAAGATGTCCACCTGAGTTTTGTTGAAACTTTGTCTTCAAAATCATTTTTTTCCCATGGCACAGAAAGTATCCTTATTTTGGAAGGCCCTAATGAGATTAAGGAGTCCCAGTGTGGCACTGTTGGCTAATGCACTGAGCTGCAAAGTCGTTTGAACTGCAACATCGGCAGTTCAAGCTCATAAGTCACTCCTCAGAAACCTATACAGGGTCACTATGGGTCGAAACCAACTTGACAGCGCTTAACAATGAGACTAAGACAGGTGTACTACTGAGAGAACTCATTTGCAGCTCTCTCTACTGATCAAAGAGACAGGTTTTGTTTTTCATAAACCTATGCATGTATGAACTGGAACCCTAGTAACTACTTTTGATTAACTCTCATTATACTAATTTTTATGAAGAGTTTTTTTGTGTGCAAAATGGCCACAAAATAGATGGGGAAAATAGTGAAGGTAGAAAAATCTATAAGTTTGTAGTATGAATTTGTATAAATAATGTACTCTGGATGGAACTGTTATTAAGGGGAAAGGTAAAACTTGTAGAGAATTGTAAGAATTGGGGGATAGTTGAAGACCATAGAACATAATATCCCCTGTCAGATGTCTACTGTATTTGTAGGGCAGCAAGGTGCATAGACTATTGATCTTGATTACTTACTTTCTCTAGAGTGTAATAATTTTATTTGCTTAGATGTGTATGTATCTGTATATGTACGTACATATAAATGTTTTTAAAGCATTAAAACATTAATATTTTGTGTGGTTTGGGAGAAATTAGAAAGCTAAAACAATACTTAATAGGTTTCCAAAGAATAAGAGGATTTTGTTTTGTTTTTTTCAAGTTCTAAATCAAACTATTATGTAAAATGCATGTATTTTATTATTCAACTGAGGATCTCCTTAGTAATTCAACATAGTAACTAACTCTATGATTAAATGAAATAGACATGAAATCTTAGCATATTGTTTTGTAAAGGTCTTACATGAACAACATGGTGAGAAAATGATATGGTAACTCAAATCCATTTTTAACTATATTCCATTACTGTGAGTTGAATTTTAAGTAGTTTCCCTTTTACCTGTAGTTATCAAGAAATATATCAGAATGCTTTCTTAAATTAAAATTCAAAGAATGGTAACAATAAATACAAGGTTAAGGTCCAAACCAAGTAAGTTTTGAAAGATTAGTTTTAAAGGAGACCCGCTTAGGTAGAAGGGATATGTTTAATAATCATGAATGTATCTTGCTCAGTAGACTTTTTAATTCTGTATCTGAGAAGTTTGTGGTTCTACCTTTTCATGTTTCACAATTTGTAGCAAGAAAGTATACCCTTGCATATACAGAAGTCAAAAGCTCCATTAAAAAGTACATTTTAAAAAATTGTTAGATTATATTCCTAATAAGGTAATTTAGAAATCAGTATGTTGTTAAGTGCTATCAAGTTGGTTCCGACTCATAGCAACCCTGTATAAAGTTTCTGATGAGCAGCTGATGGGTTTAAACTGCCAACCTTGTGGTTCACAGGCCAGTGCTGATCCTATAGCAAAATACCAGGAGTCTAGAAATCAGTATACTTATAGCCAAATTGGAGTCCTGGTGTGGTGCTGTAGGTTAATGTGCTAGACTGCAAGGTTGGTTTGAACTGCAAGGTTGGTGGTTCAAGCTCCCCAGCTGCTCCCCAGAAGCTCTATACTGGGTTGCTATGAGTTGGAACAGACTCGACGGCATTTAACAATAACTACAATAACCAATTAGGAGTCCTAGTGTGGCACTGTAGGATAAGCATTGGACTGCTAATCACAAGATCAGCAGTTCAAATCCACCAATGGCTCCATGGGAGAAAGATGAGGTTTTCTACTCCGGTAAAGTTTTATAGCCTCAGCAACCCTATACAGGGTCACTGTGAGTGACTATCAATGTGGGTTTGTGTTTGGGGTTGGTGGCACAGTAGTTAAGTGCTTAGCTACTAACCAAGGTTGGTGGTTCAAACCCACCCATTGCTGCATGAGAAAGATGAGGCCGATTTACAGTCTTGGAAACCTAATGGGGCAGATCTCCTCTGTCCTTTAAGGTTTCGATGAGTCAGACTCGATAACAGGCTGATGATAGTCCATATATTGAAAGAGTTGAGCGGTGTTTACAGCAGCACCTTGTATTTTCCCAGTGCTTTCAATCAATGGTTATAGCATTTCTTGACAGATAAGTGAAATAAATATTAACCAAGGAAAGTCTTAAATTTGTTTAACTACTCTCACTGCTGGTTAATTGTGGGACAGGGTAAATAGTTCCGTGACTCCAGGTTTCCTAATGGCTTACTTGACCTTTCCATTTTCAGGCAAAGCTGCAGAACTTTTTATAACGGCATAGTGCTATGTGGAGTACAAATAGTTTTATTGTTAGGGTAGAATATTACTACGAGCATTTTAGGACGTATACGTCAAGTCTTTCCTGAAAAAGTCATTTTTGCTAAAGGAAAGGAATTACAGTTAATTATGTGTAATACTATTAATTTTGTTTATTTGAATTTTATATACTGTTTTTTTGTAACTTCTTATTGGTCTTTAGGTTATGGATAACTTCTTAATACAAGTGACAGGAAAAAAGCGTGTTGTACTGTTCAGTCCTCGAGATGCCCAGTATTTATATTTGTCAGGTTTGTTCTTTTTTGTTATTACATTCATATTTTTAAAATCCAGTGTATTTAGTTACTCTTTTGAGAATTCTATTTCCATAAAACATCTTCAGACTTCTTCCTAATGATGATGTATTGTGCTCACCATTGTGTATGTGTACACACATAATGATGCGCTATGAGAAGAATGAGATCTTTCAGGTTCTCTTAATTACGTTACGGAGTCCCACTGGTCATAATGAGAGGATGGGTCACTGAAAATTGTCTTAGGTTTCAGGAGACTAGTAATTGTTCTCACCATGTGGGTTCAGCAATTGTACAGAAAAGAATAAATTTTCAAATTTGTATTTGTGATTGCTTTTTTTAAATTGCTAACTTTAAAAATTTATATTACCCTTTTCTTGGAACTTTTTAGGTACGAAATCAGAAGTGCTGAATATAGACAAACCAGATTCAGCTAAATATCCACTGTTTCTCAAGGCTAGAAGATATGAATGTTGCCTTGAAGCTGGGGATGTGTTATTCATTCCTGGTAAGATTTCTAAAACTAAGTAGTGTGTTGTTTTTTAAAATCTGTACTCTGTCACTCATCCTTTGTGTGAATTTTTAGGACAAAAGTGTAATTGTTTCATGTGTCCTGTCTTATGTAAGAGACTGTACACACAAGTGTGTATGTTTAAAGTGTGGTGGTAGTGGTGTTGTTAGGTGACCTCAAGTTAATTTTGATTCAGTCTCTCTGATGTTTAAACTATATACATGTACATGTAGACAAATTTTTATTTTTCAGAACCAATGATGTAAATATATTATCTTAATTATTAAATCGCATCAAGCAAGACACTATCTGGGAAAAGATTGCACCTATTTGTTTTTCCATTATCATTGCATTTCTAAAATATTTGTGTATCTTAGAACTATGTCATTTAAATGTCTACCAATAAGTAGTAAATATTTTGTAAAACCAACCTACATTAGAGGTTTTATACCAAGAATTTATCTTCTAAATATGTTCTATCTTTTGTGTGCATTACTTTTCTTTTTAATAGGTTTAGTTAATGTGACTTAATTTCTTTGGGTAATAATTGTTAGTTTGAAAATTCATAAAATTTACATGTTGTTACTAACCAAAGTGACTATAATTAACATTTGTTAATATTTAAAAGTAAATAACTGAATATTATAAAAAGCCTAAGATTCAAGGAATATATTAAGTACTTCTCTTTATTTAGTTGTACAAGGGAGCTTCAAAAAGCTCATGGAATTAAAAGGGAATTTTCCCATGAATTCTTTGAAGACCCCCCTCAAGTTTCTCATATTCAATTTAATATTTAGTGATCATAATAATATTTAATAATCATAAAAGCAAATTTAAAAGTAGCATTTAAAAATATGGTCTCATTTGGGGCTTGATTAAAATTCTTTGAGGATAAGGAACCATGTTTTGTTAGTCTTTGTGTTCTCCAGTGGGCCTAACACAATGACTGCCCTTGGTATGACTGATTGCCTATGAAGGCTTGGTACCTTGCCTTCTCACACTTCAATTCCTTGAAAATAACCAGCACATTAAATCTTTAAATGGCAATGCCATTGTTTAAACCTATACTTGAATTTTTAAATTTTTCATCTTGAAAGCATGGTTAAGGGCTATACAATTTTCCCTTATTCTGTGTAGAATTTTTGAAAATTTACATAACAAAAGTTGTAGTTTTAGATTTATATAGCATGGTAATCTTTTTCACTGATTATATTGAGTTCAAGAAACTAAAGATTTTTGAAGGAATGGTTAAGATTAAAGCCTTGTTTGAAAACTAGTTAATGCAAATCAAAATATTTAAGCTTTTGTTTTTCCTAGAGCATTCTTAGCATGAGTTTGTTTCTAAAATTTAGCATCTTGTAATTCTTCCTTTCTCCATTTCAGAAGATTAAATATTTTTAATGTGATTATTTCATCTTTATTATATTGTAATGTCACTTTAGTACTCCTGTAGCACCTACAAGAATCTTTTTGAAAATGTTTACATTCGATTGAAATAAAAGAAACTTTCTAGTGGAAGTAAAAAGTAACTAGATATATAATATGATAAAGTTCAGTCATCCCTTCTGTCGCCAAAATATTTGATTTATATTCATATAATTATTATAAAGAAGCTGAAAGAAATATAATTACAATTGCATCAGAAAGATAAAACTGAGGAAACTACAGTGAATGAAAACTTAAGCAAGTTAGAGAACCAGATTGCGTCTTGAACAGGAAGTCTTTGAAAACAAAAGTACACTATTACTGTACTGCATCAGAAAAGGCCAAAGATCCTCCTCAAATCATTGAAATGTTCTGTGTACAAAAAATAAACTACTTTGATGTGGTTGCATTACTTAGGAAGTGTAAACAAGTATCACAAACCACAGTCCCAAATCAGAGAACTATAAAGCAAATAGAACTTTATTATGTCTTTCAAGTTAAAAGGAAAAGTGGCTATTTCCAAAGGTTTTTAAAAGTAAGGGTTGTGTTATTGACACTTTAAATTGGTTGGCAATTCACAAAAGTTAAAATGATTCTGTTAAAAGCTGGGAGTGTGCTAACGAAGGGATGGTTACAAGAATTATTTCTTACATTGGCTATATGTAATTCGTGATATTTCAGTGACATTTTGGTTTTTTTTTTTTTTTTTTTTTTAACTGTAGGTTTTATTTTTAACTTGTTTTTTTTTTTTTAAAAAACATTCTCCAGCTTTATGGTTCCATAACATAATTTCTGAAGAGTTTGGAGTGGGAGTGAATGTCTTTTGGAAGCACCTTCCTCCTGAATGCTATGATAAGACAGATACCTATGGAAACAAAGATCTTACAGCAGCATCAAGAGCAGCACAAATTTTGGATAGAGCCTTAAAAACACTGGCTGAATTACCAGAGGAATACAGAGACTTCTATGCTCGGCGAATGGTTTTACACATTCAAGACAAAGCCTATAGCAAGAACTTAGAATAAATAAAGCAGTACTAATTGATGTAAAAGAGCCTTGGTGGCCTAGTGGGTTATGTTTTGGGATACTAACCACAGGTCAGCTATTCAAATCCAGCCGCTTTTTGAGAAAGATGGAGGGTAGATGATGCTTTCTGTTCCTGTAAGATTTCATAGTCTCACTAGGAGTCAGAATCGACTTAATGACAGTGGGTTGTCTTTTTTGTTGTGTTTTTGGTTTGGGTCGATTTACTGCATGCAAACTTTTAATAAAATTCAACTGAAATACTGAAGCATTATGATGTATTTCTTTAAATTCACTTTGTTAGGATAAATAAATCTCAATTTATGTATTAAATTATGAAGCCATGTTTGTGTGGTTTCTACTTGATACATAGTGTTATCGTTGAAATAATACTGTACTGATACCACTCTAGCTTTCTGGGGCAAATAACTGAAAATTCAACTTTACTTAAAAATAAGAAAATGCACTGACTCATGACAAATGAAATCTTTGGTAGAATGGGCTTAATGTTTCTAATCCAATGTCACCAAGAACCTAAGTTTGTTTTGTTTTTTCCCTTCTCCTTTCAACCACAGTATTAGCATAATCATTAGGCTGACTACCCTCGTGGTTACAGGATAGTTGCCAATAGCAATTGGGGTCATGTGTGTCTTCATTTGCATGCAGCTGAAGAGTCAGGATGGATTCCAGGAACCCTTTATTAGTATGAGAAAGCTTTCCCAGGATTCTTTAGCAAATTCTCGGGTCTCATTGCTCCAAGGAACTAGATCTGCCCATCCCTGTGCCAGCCACTGGCAAAGGTTATGGAATAGCATTTCGGTCAAGTCTGGTCTACTACTACTAGGGCTTTCCTCTGAGGTACTTAAGGTAAATGTGGGAGCAGAACGTATACTTTTTAAAATGAGGGTTATGAAAAGAAAGGAAAAAAGGCAAACTACCAACAGTCCTGGTACATTTGCTTAGAATCTGAATTTTTTAAGGAACATTTAAAAACTTAGAGATGCCTGGGCCCCAAAATTATGTATTCTGATTTAGTGTGTTTGGTATTTAGTATCAGTGTATAACAGATGTCACAGGTGTTTTGATAGCTATCAGGATGGAGAACCACTGGTTTAAGCTGATAGTACTTTGGATTAGTAGTTCTGTTCTTTGTCCAAATGCTTAATAATCTGTTACTGATTTTTCTTGCCTACGTCTGCCCCTTTCTGCAGTTTTTGAATGTTACAAAATATTCAAATCAGTTTTCATGCTTAATTTAGCTCTAGCATAACTGAAAATCTCTCCACTGAATACTTCCACTTGTTTTTTTTTTTTTTTAGTATTTCTAGAATGTATAAATAAGAGACCCTAATATTGTTGTCGTTGAAAAACAATGAGCCATTGTGTGTGGATCTGTGCCATTCTTTGTTATGTACTTGGTAATTACATTGCAATGTTGCTGAAGAAAGCCCAAATATGTTTAGTGAAGACAAATGTACCCATGTGAAGCGATCTCAGAGCACATGAGTTAAGGGCATTTTAATTTTGGGGGAAAAACATTGAAGACTATCCATTTACTCAGACTTCTGGTGTAGCACTGTAGGCGCAGCACTGGACTGCAAGCTACAGTGTCAACAGTGTAAACCTACCAGCTGTCCTTGAAAACCCTATATAGGGTCACTATGAATTGGAACCAACTCAACAGTCTGTAACAATTCATCTCCCCTGTATTCAGAGTTGGACTAATTTCATATGTAAAAAGATTACATTGCAAATAAAGGAAAAACTAAAAAAGCAATTCAGAATTTCCTAGGTATCTATGGGAAAAGAAGTTATTTAGGCCAACACAGGTGAAAAAGTTTTAGAAAAGGAATTCCTTTAGTAGATCTAATACTAGATTTTGATCTTAGGTTAGTGTTTAGGATAATAAACAACTTTTAATGATTTGCTTTCTTTCAGAAAGAAAAAAACATTTTTACTTTGCAGAGTATAAAGTTGGCTTTTCAAAAAGCTTTTTTTTTTTTTAAAAAAACCCCAAAAGGAAGTGGAAGAACAAGGAAGACAGTAGAACACTTGGGCTAAGTGGGATAGAGGTAAATAGTGATAACTAACTCTACCTTGGAACAACAGGGCTCTGTGATACAGGGATTGAGGCACAGTCTGAATGGGTAAAGGAGGGAAATAATGTTAAGATGCTTGACTGCCTTATGGATATTGGTTTCCCTTGCCTACTATTGTAAAATAGACACTTGAGTGAGATAGAAAGGAATATCGGGTGGCAGGGGCCATGATGGCTCTGATAAATACATTGCAACAACATCAGAAGCCATGTCATGGAGGAACAGAGTGGCGAAAAACCCTGCGCATGAAAAGCTGCGTGTTTTTGTGTACATCAAAAAGAGGGAATAGAGGCAAATACTGTCAACCAATGATGAATGGAGGGGATTGTAATCATTGCAATGAAACAAAATACGATTGGCTGAGTGCAAACTTGATGTTCTCCCATGTAAACTATCACTCAATTCACAATAAAAGCATTAAAAAAAAAAAAAAAAGTCTCCAGAATCCTGTAGGAAACCTAAAAATAAAGATGTTTCCCCACCAAATATTCATTTTAATTAAGTTTGTTGATGAAGCAAACTACGAGACCTTAGGCAAGTAAGACAGCCTTACTGAAACATCCTTATTAAAATAGAAAGAACACAAACATGTTAAGTGCTGTTGGGTTAGTTCCGACTCATAGCAACCCTGTAGAGGGTTTCCAAGGAGTGACTGGAGGGTTTGAATCACCAGCCTTTCAGTTAGCAGCAGTTCAGTACTTATCGCACAGCGCCACACCAAGACACCAAACACGTACATGTTGCCAATGCCCTCAAGTCTGTTTCAACTCATAGCAACCCTGTATGGGGTTTCTGAGGAGCATTGTTAGGTATGAACTGCAGACCTTGTAGTTAGGAATCCAATGCTTATCCTATAGTGCCACAGTAGAACGCTGTTAAGTGAGTTGATACCAATTCATTGTGACCCTGTATAGGGTTAGGTGACAGTTTAAGGGCAGACCCATTGCCAAGGCTACCGTTAGCTCTTGTATTTTAATTACATTCTTTATCTGATAAGAGACACTATATGTGGCATCTGTTGCTATATTACTTAGAAAGCTAGATATGAGCCCTTTGTATTTGTTGTTAGGTGCCATCGAGTCAGTAACTGTCTCATAGCGACCCTATGCACAACAGAACAAAACACTACCTGATCCTGGGCCAGCCTTACAATTGTTGCCACACTTGAGCCCACTGATGTTGCCACTTTGCCAATCCATCTTACTGGGGGTCTTCCTCTTTTTCTCTTACCCTCCACCTTACCAAACATATCCTTAGAAGTTTTAAAATAATTTTCCCTATCATTATATTTAATGTACAAGATGAGTCAAAAATTATCCAAACTTCAGTTAATGTTAAAATGCCCCTCTATGTCCATGTCTGATGACAACATTGAGCACACACGTAATGATTCTATCAAACAGATGAGTGACAATGGATTATTTGGTAAATCATTTTCGAATCAGCCATGGCGCCACAACAGAATTGGGTTTCAAAAAGTTTGTGCAAGATGGGTACCAAAACAACTCATGGAAAAGCATAGACAGAAGCACTTGGACATCTGCAAACAAAATCTGGACCAATAATTGAAGGTAAAAGTTGCTTTTTAAAAAACCGTTGCTAGTGATGAGACAGGGATTGGTCACTGAGTTTGAGAATAAACGGCAGAGTATGGAATGGAAACATCTTCAATCGCCAACCAAGAAATAGTTCAAATGTCAACCATCAGCTGGAAAATTGATGCGTACAGTTTTCTGGGATTCTCAAAGGCCAGTATTAGAACACTATTGGAAAAAGGTTCAACAATCAACAATGCTCCTCCTTACAGTGAGATACTCAATAAAGAGCTGAAAGCTAAATTCCAGATTAAACGAAGAGTCTTGGTGTGGCACTGTGGGTTAATGCACCAGACTGCAAAGCCGTGTAAACTGCAAGGTTGGCGGTTCAAGCTCACCAGCTGCTCCCTGGAAACCCTATACAGTGTCACTATGAGTAGACTGGCACTTAACAACTGTTATCCAAGGGCGTTGTGATCTTGCATGACAATGCAGGTCCACACACTTCTGCCTATACTGTTGACACTGCAAAAAGTTCATTCTGAGGTGTTAAAGCATCTTCCCTATAATCCTGATCTTGTTCCATTGGACTTTCTCCTTCTTGTTTCCCTGAAAGCAGCCCTTCGAGGACAAACGTCCATCTCTGATGAAGAAGTGAAGACAGCAGTGTAGTCATGGCTCACAGCTCAGTTTAAAACATTTTCTAATGAGTGAATCTGAAAGCTTGTTGATGGACAAAGTATTGAAAAGCAAGGAGATTATGTCAAAAAATTATGTATTTGTCTTTTTAAAAAGATTAAATTCTACAGCTAGAGTGCAGATATTTTGACTCAGCCTCATAGTTGTTATAGTTAAGTGCTGTCATTACTGATTCATCAGATTCTATGCACAACAGAATGAAACACTATGCAGTCCAGGGCCAGCCTCACAATTGTTAACTTTGAGCCCACTGTTGGCTGTCACCATGTCATTCCATCTCATTGAGGGTCTCCCTCTTTTTCACTGAACTTCCACTTTACCAAGTATGATGTTCTTTCTTCTCCAAAGCACAAGAGGCAAATTCTTGTAATCCTCGCTTCTAAGGAACATTCTGGCTCTATTTCTTACAACACAGACTTCTTCGTTCTTCTGGCAGTCCATAGTGCTTGTAATAGTATTCTCCAACACCATAACACAAATGCATTAACTCCTCTACAGTGCAAAACTTACATGTGCATATGAGGCGACTGAAAATACCATGGCTGGGGTCAGGTGCACCAGAACCTTCAAACTGATATCTTTATTCTTGGACACTTTAAGGTGGTCTTGGGAAGCATATTTACAAAATATGTCATCTGATTTCTTGACTGCTGCTTCCATGAACATTGTGGATTCAAAC